TGTTGCTTTAGCATCTATGCAGATGGACAACTTCCTTGCTTTATATAATTCACATACTGAGCATTTTTGCACAGAAACTGTAAAAAAATATTATTGCGTGGTATATTTATTGCAAGGTATTGGTACATTAAAATTAATTGAAGGAAGAAAACAAACAAGCTCATTAGCTAGTAGATGAATGGTCTCTTCCAAAGTTAATTATTGAGCGAAGATTTTGTTTTAAGAATAGAAGAAATATCTCAAAGCTTTTTCATGCAGAAAATAGTTATATTTCAGTCTCATTATAATTAAAAATCCCATTCCATTGAGCTTGGAGCGGACAGCCTTCTAGCTGAGGGCATGCTTTCATGAGGCTGTCACGGCTCTGCCTGTGCAGCCTGTGACCTTGCTGGGTGTTTAGGTGTCTCAACCTAGCCAGCAGGCTGTGCTGTGTCAGCTAAAGCAAGAGTTGCCTGGTTCTCTTTATAATCCTGCACCCTGTTTTGTGATCTTCTTTATATAAAAAAGAGAGAGGTAAAAGGCTAAGATGTGTTGAGCACCAAATACAGTGCAAGGGATCAAGCTTGGCATTGTATACATCGTTGAATCTTCATAACAAGCCTATGACAGGTATTACGATCTCCATTTCACAGAGGAGGTAACAGGCTCAGAGTGTTTAATTTCCCACAAAGCAGTTAGAAACTGAAGAGCCAGAATTCAGACTCATTTCTGACTCGAAGCCCACTACATCATGGAATTTCAGTACTACTTTTTGTTACTCTATATGAGATTGTGTTATTTGGAAAGTTTAAGTGTCTGTATTAAATATTCATGTCCGTGTGGTATTATACTGGCTAACGTGTAATAGATTTGAGCATAGCTTATTCACGTTTTCTTTCAGATGTAGTAGAAAATAGTTCATTCCATTATGGGCATATATAAAAAATTACATTCCCCAGACAAAGTGGTCAGGAGGTGCAAAAAAGAATTCTCTGGAATATTGAAAACCTAAGATAAGATCTAAACCAAATAGAATTTTTAAATCATCAATTCTTTATTTCTTCCTAAAAAACTAGGATAGGAAAGAAGACTAAACTATATAAGAAGTAGCAAGTGTCAGCTTTTACTTAACTTTGTATTGTGATCTTTGTATGTAGCCTCATTTAATTTGCACAAGCTCTTTTGTGTATGTTGGAGGAGAGAGGTGCTTGCTCTGTCATGTCCCATTTTGTGTCCTTGGCTCGAGGGAATGAATCACTGTCTCTAGAGGCTGTTGCCTCCAACTCTTTTCTGTGCAATTAAAATATAGAAAAGTGTTAGTGCCCTTTGCTGCATGCCAAAGAGAATTTTCTTTTAATTGGCCTTCTACTGTAGGCCACACTTAACAAATATATCATTTACTAATAATAATGAGAATAATAATAACTGCTATGTATTGGAAAAGGCTGTGTGGCAAGAATTCTGCTTGATAATTTATAAATTTCGTTAGTAATTCTCACTAACCTTAAGAGACAGCATTATTTTCCTCTTTTTACAGATGAGGAAACTGAGGACACACATTTAGTAAATAGAAGAATGAGGATTCAAACCCGGGTTGTCTGACTCGAAGACTGTGTTCTTGCTCCATTAGTTAGTGTCCTACACTCCTTACTGCTGCATAAACTCAAGTAAAGAATCTTTCCTTGAGCCCCCTAGGGGCTCTGAAAGGCAAATCTAAGACCAGAGCTTATTTATATTTTTATCAAGGTAGTTTCATTTTTTAAAAAATTCCAAAGTTTTCTGTATGCCCTTAAAGTCTGTGGATTTCTATTTGTGATGAAAGAATTTGTATGCATATCAGAGAAGTAGTGAAGAAATATAGACTAGGAATTCTTAGGGTAACTTTGAGACCTTTCATTGCAAGTGGATTCTGGTATTTCTATCTATATTTTTTCCATCTTTGTTTTATAAATTTAGAGCCTTTTATACCGGTAGATATGTTTATACATGTTTACTAAAGTAGCAGTGTAACATTATTTTGGTAATTATATATTCTTGTGCTTAAAAAACCATATTGTATAGTGATTTAAATTTCAAAGATTAGTTTCACATTCAGTTATCATACCAACCTGGTGAGGTTGAGGGACTAGGTACTATTATGCCATTTAACATATGTGCAAACTAAAGCTCTGCTCATATGGCTAATAAGTGAAAGAACAGACACATAAGATATGAACAGACAATTCACAAAAAATTATGTAAAAATGGCCCTCAGACATACTAAAAATGTCCACACGCATAATTAGAGAAATGCAAATTAAAACAATGCTGAGATATCATTTCTCACCTATCAGAATGACAAAAATTTTAAAATAGAACAACAAATTTAAAAAGTACGTGAGACTATGGGAAAGCCAATGCTTTCATACATTGCTGGGAGGGACGCAAATTGGTATAACCCTTTTGGATGGAAATACCAAAGACTCTACACATGTACTTACCTTTTGACCCAGCAAGTCCACTCTTAGGAGTCTATGCTGAAGGTACACCTCCAACAATATAGATGTACATGTATACGTGGGTTAATATACATAGATATGTTTTGTAGCTCTATCCACTAAGAGATCCTAGAAGCAATTGCATACCTGTAGTAATGAGCACCCACAGCACTCAGATCTTGGTTTCTAGACACCATAACCCAACAAAATGAATTAAAGCACCTTGGAGAATTAGTTGATTTAAGGGCTAGAGCAGGGAAAATACAAGCTGAGCTTGGAACATCTTGTGGTGCCAGAAAGCTAAAAGTGCTCAAAAGAGGATGAAAACTTGTTGAAAGAACATAAGAGCCAATCTTCAGCTGTTCCTAATTGCCAGAACCGGGACGTTTTGACCAACATGATAAATGATAATGTTATTGGGCTTTTAGTCCATACAATAAAATAAATATTCATGAATCCATACTGATATAAAAATCAAATAAGTAAATGGGAAGGAAAGAATGGCTCTTCCTTACAGAAGAATTCCAATTAATAAATGTAGACAGAAAGACTGTAATAGAAAATTTCCATTAGATAAATACCATGTAATAATTGTTACCAAAAAGATCCACTGATGGATGCTAAAACTAATAAACAAAATTTTGAGGACAAACAGGATATTTACGTAGGCTTCGGGGTGTTGTAATCTGAAGGCTTGACCTGGGGCTTGGAGGAGCTGCTTCCAAGATGGCTCACTCACATGGCTGTTGTCTGGAGGCCTCACTTCCTCTCCAGAAAGCTGCTGGAGGGACCTCATGACAAGGAAGTTGTCTTCCACCAGAATGAGTGATCCAAGGGAGAGAGCCAAGAGGAAGTCACAATGCCTTTTATGACTTACTCTCTGAAATCACATCGTTTCTGCCTATTCTGTTTGTTAGATATTTTAAAACCACCTCACTGGGAAGGAGCATCTCTAGCCAATAACCTAGTAATTCTTTTTTCTCCCTAAGAGTTGCCACTTCTCCTTTTGTTGCCTGTTCCCCATGCTCCCAGTTTTGGTTCCTCTTTTTGTAATTTGTTCCGGTGCTAGTCCTGGGCAGGACTATTGGAATAGGACTAGCAGTGGAAAGGAGGAGGTAATATTAACCCTTCCCTACTGAGGAATCCTTCCTTATTTCAATCTTATATTACCCCTTCCCACTTTCTGTAACAAATTGTCCAGAACCCATCTGTGAACCCATAAGACTTTATACAAGCCTCTTGAATAGCAATAATCATATTGTATTACAATTATCATTTTCCATGTCTGTCTGCATATATATTATATCGTATTCATATCTATATCCCCAAGGCCTACCGTAGTGCCTAAAAGGTCCTTAATGGCTAAATGGTTTTTCTTTTGAAATGTAAATACACTTACGAACATCCTATTTTAGCTTTCTGGGCCTTCGTCTTTCCTAAACTGACGACAGACAAGGGGGAAGAGATCTCCTTCATCCAATTGCCTATTTCCTATTTTCACAAGCAGAACTTGAGAAAACTTTTCAAAGGTTATGTTCTTGCTTTAGGGAGCCAAGGGTAGCATGGCTGCTGAGGACTCTGTTCTGTGACAATGAAGACAAAGAGCCCTACCCAGTGAGTGCTAGGAGTGGAAAGGAAAGCTGGTCGAACATTCTTGGGCACACGGTAAACAGGAAGGGATGACTTCGACATCTGGAAGTGTCTCTGCTGCCTGTGTTGGCCAGAGATCACCTTCAATACTTTGTGCTTTGTCTCCTCACTGAATCCCCCTCCAGTCTTTGCCCCCACATTACCCAGCTACTTCTGGAAATCACCTGGATTCTGCCTCTTTCTGGCATACTTGTTCCTGATGCAGACCCTCCTTTTTGGGCCCCCTCTCTCACCTCTTCCCATTCCTTATACATACCCATTCTAGTCCCTGGCCTGCTGGTCTTGGCCACCTCACCTTCACACCTCCCTAGGGGACTGGGACTTGGGGTTCCCTTTTCTTCTTCCTCTCCCTGCAGCCATGGGCAGTTTTATCCTTTCCCACATCAGCCTGGCTCCTGAGACCCCAGTCCTTCTTCACCCCTCCTCCCATCTTTCTGCCCAGGGGAGGCAAGACACAGTAAATCTTGATATAGGGGCAGAACTAGGCTTGTTTAGGCTGACCTGCCAACTTAGTTTGTATAACATTTTTTCCTATGGAGAAAAATGAAACTAAGTGAATGACCTACAACACACTTTATTCTTAAAATTGTTTATAAAAAGTCATAGAATTTTTATTTGGGAAGGAAATTTAATAATACTCTATTCCCAGTTATCTCATTGTCCAGTTTAAGAAATCAAGGTCCAGGTGGGTTAAGTAATTTTTCTACAATCATGTTTTCTGATGCAGAATCTAATATTGCAGCTGACATAATTTCACGTTCAGAGTTAAATCTACAACAATTTTTCTTCCAGAGTAGAAATTTTGAATTATTTTAATATTATGTATTAAATTTTACATTTCACATTATATTGGTGTGTATTTATAAGAGTTATAGTACTTTCTTTCTAATCCAGATTTAGGTCGATCTCGAGAACTACAATATGTGTACGTGGATAACAACATTCACCTGAAAGGCTTGCCATCCTATCTGTACAATAAAGTCATCGGGTGCAATGGGTAAGGCTGATTTCATACTTTATACGGTAGCTCAACTCTTTTGCTAGCTTTGTTTCTATTTCATTATTTGGTCCTGATATAACTTAGAAATAGATGAACTCCTTTGATAATCCTGTTCAATTTTGTCTTTGGCCTTAATATGCTAAATAAATACCCTTAGAAGCTAAGAATGTTAAGCAAGCAATTTAAAGTATTGTACCTCGAGTTCAGTTAGTACGTTGTGAGTTCAGTCAGTAATTTGTTTATTATTTTCCAGTCAAAAGAAGAATGAATCCATGCATACCATTATAAACTAAGTAGTATCAGTCACAGAAACTGGAGGAATCAGCATTAATTTAGAAGCTTTTCTTTCTCTGCACTCCATTGCAGTGACAATTTTACCACAGGAACAGCCCTAGTATCTAGAACTTTTCCATTTGGAAATATTTAAAACTCAACATTTGAAATAGTCTTTCAATACAAATCATGATTCTAGCAACCAAAAAGATGTTTCAGTTAATGGGAGCCAGCCTGTTTGACTCTCTCCTTGTAATCCCCAATACCCTGTGTAACCTGGCTCATACTGTATGTGGTTCTGGAAAGAAAAGGGATGACAGTAAGCTTGTGCTTAGAGGACAGCCATTCCCCTGTTGGCATGGCTCCAGGGGAGGGGCACTGAGCAGCGATTGCTCTAGAGAGGGCAGTCCTAGGAGTAGTAGCCTTCCCTTGGGAAAAACTGTATAATTGTTATCTTGGAAGAGCTCTAGATGAGTTCAGTGCCTATATAGGCTGATGAAATACAAGCCCAGAGATATATTCCAGAACCTTCTGTGAAGCAGAGATAATCTAATGTGTGGTGTTTTTAGCTCAGTGATTTTTCTACAACTGATTATGTGACAGCTGTGATAGTACTCAGTCATTAATCCTAATGAGTTCTAAAGGATTTATAATATAGCCTAATTCTTCTAAGTGGGGAGTAAAATGCCCTCGATCACCGAGATACATGGAATGATGCAAGCCAGCTCCAAGGCTGAAGGCAGTTTTTCCTGCACCAAAGCCTTCAGAGACTGCACTGAAATGTGATTTAAGTCTCTACTACAATTGAGGAACAGCTTTTACTTAAGATAAAGAGCCTTCTACTTTGGTGTTTAGATATGGATGTTATTGACTGCCAGAAAGTTCCATTTGTGCTGAGTAGAGAGATATTTTTTAATCCTTGACTTGGTATCTGGTAGAAGAGGTAGTGAATTTTATGAGAGCTCCAAATCCTTGAGAAAATAAAGAGGAGGACAAAATATGCAAATTATTAGCTAGTAGTCTACATTTTTTATCGTCTTGAACATCTTATTTTAGTAGCAGTAATAAGAAAATAAAATTATTATTAAAAGGACAGTATCAAACAATCAGTTTTCTAATATTAGTAGTTTTTGGAATATAAGGATTCCCCACTTACGAATGGACAGTGATCCAAAAGGTATTTTTAGTCTGTTGGTTCAACTCAGAATGCTTTTCTCATAGAAGCACTTCTGGTGGTTATATTCCTAGCCAGCTCATTAAAAGGTCTTTTAGCCCATTTTGTACCCTGAAAATTATACTTACTTATACAATATTTTATGGCAAAATGTATTCAGAATTCTAATAGATAGTGACTATTGAAGCCTTGGTAACAAAATTAAGGGGCTTCTTTCTTTTATCTCTTGTTTCTGTTGAATATGTACAAAGGGACTCCTCCATTCCAAGTCAAAGTGGGGGTGCTTTAGGAAAAGGGTGGGTAAGGAGTGGAACAAGGTTCTGAGGTAAATCTAATATAAAGAACAAAATGGTTTTTGAGATGTAGAAAGAGCACTTCTTCATTCTGGATAAGGATCTTGGTTTACTTGTTCATTCAACGAGTATTTATTGAGCAACTGCTCTGTTTGGTCATTATGCTAGACAATGGCCGTATGATGATGAGTGAAACAGTTCAGTACCTCACCTCGTGGACCTTATAATCTAGCCAGGAATCCAAAGGAACAATAAATAATTGAACAAACTTGGTGCTAATTCTCTTTAAGGAGGTGATATCTAAGCTGAGAACCTAAGGATCAGCACACTTGGTTCTCGACTGCTGTCACATGTTGCTTCCAGCCCAGATGTAGGCCCTGAATATAAGAACACAGTAGCTTCTGCTGTACTGTACTATCTCTGAAATAATTACCTTACTCTTTTTGGATTAAGAGTCTAAGAGAATTAAAGCAACAGCAGAGCAAAATGAACACAGCTTTAGGGACCTGTGGCACAATATAAAAAGTCTGGCATATGTATAATTCACACCTCAGAAGGAAAATAGAGAATGGGGTATAAAATATATAAACAGGTATAAAAATAGCAAGTAACAAATGTTTCACAGTTTCAAGAAATCTCAAAAGTCTCACAGAATTATCTGTGATACTCATGGAAATGGGAATAAATTTGGCACCTTATTATTATATGTTCATTTATTTGTCAAATGATTATTGAGCATTAACTAGCAAGTCAGCACTATGCTAATAATTATGGAAAAGACAAAGATCATTTAGTGGAAAAGACAATTTAGATGTTTATCTTAATATACAAAAATAACTGTAATACAAAAAATAAATACCCTAAGAGAGGTAAGAGTGATGAAAATTTAGAGCATGGAACTCTTTTATGGCCTAGCCTTGAAGTCACAGACTGTCATTTCTGTTATAGCGTAGTGATTACACAGATCTCCCCTATTCATTGTGTGAGGAGACCATGTATGGGAGTGAACACTAGGAGGGGAGGATCATGGGAGCCATCTTGCAGGCTGGCTAGCACTGCTTCCTTGCATCCACTGGTCTTTGCTAGGCTCATGGGAGAATATGATATTTATTTGTCTGGGTTTTTCTTATTGTTACTACAGGAGTAAATGGCTTCAGTTTTTCTACATTTTACCCAGAAAGAGAAGTCCCTCTCATGTTAGAACTTTAGGGAGTGGGAATTGGCACATTTGCTTATTCAGGAGAACGTAATGGTAAAAGTGATCCTACACCAGAGTTATTTTTCCAGTTGTCTGATTATATGAGAAAAAGGAAACCGAGCCACTGCCTTTGCTTTTTCTTATGTAAATATAGCTGGATTTGGGTACAAATTGGTTAAATGACTTGATTAAATGGTTTGTTAATATAACCACTCAAGGTAACAAAATTGTTCATACGAGAAATGCAGTCTGAGTTCTGAGTTAAACCAGTAGACTAAGAAATATCTTCTAGATCACAGGCCATTTTTATGTAGGGGCTGCCTACACACCCAAAACAAGCAGTATTAGATACTTGAATCACGCTTCCATGGGGCAGGCACAAAGCAATCTAGCTACAGATAAAAAAAACTGAAGTGTAATTTGAGCTGTCACTTAAGAGACAGTTTGCAGTTTGATTCCATCAAAATAATTAATTGCTTATTAAAACAAAAATGTTAAAACTCCTTTTAAGTTTTAGGGGAATATGACAGAATCCAGAGTCTCCACAATATAACTTTTACAATGTCCAGGATACAACTCAAAATTACATAACATATGAAGAATAAGGAAAATATGACTTATTCTCAAGGGAAAAGACAATCAGCAGAGACCAACCTGAGATGACCCAAATGTTGGAATTGACAGACAAGGATTTTAAAACAACTATTCTCAATGAAGTAAAGAAAAAGTAAGTCTGCAGTGAGTGAAAAGATCAGAAAAAATAGAAACCATAAAAAAGAAACAAATGGAAATTCTAGAGTTGAAAAATGCAATATCTGAAAAAATACTGTACTTGATGGGCTTAACAAAATGGGTATAACAGAGGACAAGTCAGTAAACTTGGTGGTGGATCAATAGAAATGATTCAGTCTGAAGAACGTAGAGAAAAAAATTGAAAACAAAAATGAACACAGCATCGGGGACCTGCCAGACAGTATAAACAAACCCAATATCTGTATAATTGGCATCCCAGAAGGAGAATAGAGAGAGAATGCAGCAGCGACAACTACAAAAATGTTGAAGAAGTAATGTCCAAAAATTTCCCAAATATGATGAAAGACATAAATTTATATTTTCAAGAAGCTCAGCAAACCCTAAGCAGTATAAATTACAAAGAAAACCATGCCTAGGCAAAGCTGCTGAAAACCAAAGATGAAAAGAAAATCTTAAAAGCAACCAGAGAAAAATGACAAATTACGTACAAAGGAATACTTCAAAAGCATGTACCCTGTGTATTCACAGAGCTGGTTTCTCTGAAATATCATGCTAATCTTAGTTCGTAACAACAGATACCTACCTTCACAGCAACATCTAGACTGGTGTCTGACCAAATATCTGGGTACCACGGCCTAGCCAAGTTGATACAAAAATTTAATTATCACACCGTGTATTGTAGTATAATATCAAAAGAATCATTTATTATAATAATAAAAAGAAAGCACAGGTATAAACATTGCCTAACCTTCTGTGTGCCAGGCATTGTGCTCACTGGTTTATTTGCATATTGCACATAATCCTCCCAGCAACCCTTGTGATATTATCCCTATCTTAGAAATGAAGCCCAGAGAGATTAGGTAAATTGTCCCAGGTCACAAAGATAGGTGGTGGTAGAGTTATCATCTGCTTCATTGTGCATACTCTTAACCTCTGCGCTACATAGACTGCCTCCCTCTTCTCCTGGATCTATTTGAGCCCCTTTACCAGCTCCCTGAGAGCAGAGATGAAAAATACCTTTCTGGCTCCTGCATCATTTCATGTAGTAGGGGTGGATAGTTAGTCTCTGATGAGGTCAAGGGAGGTTGGCAATGGCCAGCTGAAAGGTCCCTAACTCAGTGAATTCCTCCTTTGCAGCCAGCATTCTACATAGCTGCATCTCTTTTCCAGAGAAGGCATTTAATAGATGTATTGTAAAATGAATTAATTAGCTCTTTGTATCCAATGGTGAAGAGTAGGAACTTCTGCTAAAAGAATTGTCAAAGGGAAATTAGACCTTACATAAAATAAGGATCCACTTACTTGT